CACATTTTTTCCTCTTCTTTAATAGTGTGATTTACTGCCTTTTCCCAGTTTTCAGGTTTTACATTATTTACGGTCTCCAAAAACAACTGTTTAACATCATGAATTTTAAAAGTGGTATTTTTTCTTGAAACTTCACTCTTTATCTGTGCCCATACCAGTTCAATCGGGTTTAACTCACAACGTTTAATTCAATCACGATTTTTGGCAATTTCATCAATTTCGTATTTTTTAAATTTTCTTTATGAAGGGCACACAACGAATAAAGTTCCTTTCTTATAGATCCGGGATGGTACGTAATATTTTTTGAAATCAGCCAATTTGCAAGTCTTTTTTTAACCACTTTATTGTGGGCAGTCCTTCTATAGTCTGGAGTGATAACTTGCATTATCCATTACTATTACACAGTTCTTAGGAAGAAGATATATCATTTGTTCGAACCATTCTTGAAAGACATCAGCGTTCATGTCTTCATGGTAGTCACCGGTACGAGTTGATTCAAAAATTAATAAACCACCTTCAACAAAACCGTCTGAATTGCCAATGTGTACTATTATCAGCCTGCGTCCCTTTCCTGATGGTGGGTTTAAACCAGTAGATAAGTTATTTACAAAAGCGTGCCTTTGACTTGTAACAGTTTCATCCTGCCAAAATTTATTTGGTGTATGACCCTCGTTGATCCATGTTTCATCAAGATAAAATATTTTTCTTTTTTGGTTTCTCATTTCCTTTATGGTTCTTAGAAAATGTCTTCTCCATATGACAATATCGCTTCTTTCTAATAAAATAGACTTTCTGGGATTCTTTTTCCATCGGAAGCCTATTTCTTTTAAAAGTTTCCATACCGTACTTCGACTCATTTCTGGGTAATCCTTATCATCTCGAACTGAGACAAGAACTTTATCCAATGTTGGAAATTCTTGTCTAAAGAAGAATTCATGCACTTTCCGTCGAAGTCCTTCTTTAAAATGATATTCTATTTGAAATTTTGGTTTCCATGGAGCATTACGTGGCATTTGAACACTACCACATTTTTCTTCTTTAATAACTCTGTAAATCGTAGATTTCCCAACACCAAGTGTACTGCTAACTAACTCAACGGTCTCATCAACACTTTCACATAAACGTTTGTCTGTAAATGATTTAAAACAATTAAATATTAATGTTTTTTCATTAACTGTTAAAGGACCAATTTTTCGGCGTTTACACGGCACTTCCAAATTTTCCATAACACTAGTATACACAATAAACTGCACCTTGCAACTGAAGTACCTACTTTTAGTGAACTGTTAAGAATTTTGAATACGCCACTTGGACCTTCCTACAAAATGGAAAAACCCACTATCACATTTTCTGTGGAATAAGTTTAGAAGGTAATTATCTAGTCAATTACTGTTGTAGATTCCTGGAATTAAAGAATTAAATGTTTGATTGTTGAAACCCTTACTTCGTGGAATGCACTCATTTCAGATAAAATAAAACGTTTTATTTTATCTAAAGAATTAAACTTTATTTTGCAAATAGGTAGGTACTTATTAAACTTTTATTGGTTATATATAACCAATAAAATAAACATCTTACATTTCTTGCAAATTCATTAGTACCTGTTAACCTCCATCACTCCGACACTGGCAACCTTATTTAGGGATTAGTAACCCTCACAACTATTGTATTCTATTCTGCTCCAACCTTTATACCTGGTGGTCATACTCAATTTAAAATTGTTTTCCTATATACTTCTATAAACTTGTTGACAAATATCTGTTTTTCATTGAGTCACCCGTATCAACAGTTTAGGGATTTGCATACATAATTTATTGTTTTATTACTCTCTCATACATAAAAATACACTATAGTTTGAAGACATCAAGAGACAAGGAAATATGTCCTTTAGGAAATATGCACCAATAAATGACTATAAATATGAAATATAAAATTATGAAATTATGAAATATAAAAACTTGACTGACAGTAGTTTATGACCTATTTTTGACATTACTCATTGAACTGTCAACAACGTCACTTCATATAGAACAACTGTAGGACAATATCCACTTTTTATGTTGGGTATTCTAACAGAAGCTAATGGATAGGGGCGACTTGAGAGAAATTCTTGAGGAGGCTTGGATCTACGCAGGGTTGTAAAGCCAGAATGATGATGATAATGTAATTTTTGAGTAAAGAGATTGATATTGATTAGGTGAAAATAAAAATGGAAGTTAAACCTTGATTGAATTTAGATAGAAAGGAAAAGATAACAATGGGTTGTTGTTGAGTTGTGCCTCCAGTGATTTGATTTTCTTTAGACGACATTCAAATAATATAACGCAATAATAAAGCATAATTAAATGATGATAACACTCTTTAGCGGTTTACTTTTCTCGTACTGGTACAAATTAAGATAACAAAAAATCTTTTAAAGTTGTTTCTAAATTAACGATATTGAATAGATCAGATAAAATTTCATAGCGCCACCTTTAATATTCAACTTGTAGCTCATTAGCGTTGTTTGCTTTGTATTGTTTGCGGTAATGTTCTGAAATATTGTAGGTTGCCTAATTGCTATTTGGTATAAAACGCTGTAAATTTCAGTATTTGTTGTGGGTAAAACACCATTATCGACTATATTCAAATTTAGTTGTGTCAAACCATATTGAGTAAAAAAAAACGATAATGTGGGTTTAATTTCCTGGTCCTATCAATAACAGTAATTCTATTCAACGTCAAAGCAATTTTGTTGTAGAGTTGTAACAAGTTATTATCAACAAATGTCAATGCATTATTCACCTGTAAGTAATAGTCGTTGTCTTTGTGTGAACAAAGTTTTTTGTGGTATAATTGACATATCGCCCACAGTCGTTTCTTTCGATAAAGCACGTGGGTTTGATGAAAAATACTCGTTTATTGTTGTAATAGTAATAATTATAAACGACACAACTTCAGTAATAGACTGCTGCTCCTACTACAATAAATGCCACATAAATTTTCAATAACCACTAAGAAGAGTTGACATTATTGAATAAATATTTAATGCGATATTTCTAATAACCGTTATTAAACGTATTTTTATTGTAAATTATATATTTTAACAGTTCTTTTGATTAGTAAATAACTCTGAATAAATACATCATTGTTATGTTTTGTGAACGTTATTAGCAACTTCACATATGAAGAGTCCAGGGGAAAAACCCCATCATCGAAATTTTTGGGTTAATCCGGTTCGAAGTGGTCACTAAAGGATTGCGAGGCATTGGATCGCAATCCTCAGTTTTTGAAAATAACCCCGCTGTCTCAGCGAAAGCGAAAAGGGTTGAATATATGCGGGGAAGAACCCCGTATTGCAGTTTAAATGCACATCGCAAACACGCAGCGTATCTTCTTCTTACGGTGCCTTATCCTTAAGGACGTTGGCCATTACATTTGCCCAGTTAATCTTATTTGTAACAGCCCTGAATAGTTCTATGGAGGTCATGTTCGTCCATTGCCGTAGGTTTTAAGCCAAGAGTTGCGTCTTCTTCCTAGTCCTCTTTTGCTATTGACTTTGCCTTCGATTATAAGTTGGAGCAGTTCATACTTTTGATTTCTTATGATGTGACCAAAACATTGTGTTTTCCGTTCTTTTATTATAAGCATAAGCTCTCTTTCCTTATTCATCCTCCGCAAGATTTCCGCATTTGTCATATGGCTCATGTAGGATATTCTGAGCATTTTACGGTAACACCAAAGTTCGAATGCTTGGATTCTGTTTTGTGTTGCTTCTGTCATTGTCCAGGCTTCAACACCATAGAGCAAGGTCGAGAAAACATAGCACTTAAGTATTCTAGTTCTCAATGAGATGCCCAGCTGGCGGTTGCATAGAACTTTTTGCATTTTGTAAAACATTGTACGTGCCTTTTCCAGGCGTATTCTTATCTCTAGTGAGTGGTCCCAAGTTTCATCAAGATTACTTCCAAGGTACGTTGTTCTTGTTACTCTTTCCAGATCTGTTCCGTCGACATTGACCTTCACCCTTCTGTTTTGGTGCTTGCTGATGACCATCGTTTTTGTCTTCTTTGTATTCAATTTCATTCCAAATTCTCTACAGGCTGTCGTTACTCGGTCCATTAAGCGTTGCAGGGCTTCATCATTATCTGCCGGTATGACAGTGTCATCAGCATATCGCAGGTTACTTATACATTGCCCATTTGTAATTATACCATCCGAGGTGCCTTCCAAAGCTTTCTGAAATATCTTCTCAGCGCATACTTCATCTTTATTAAAGTTGCATGCCGGGTGCTAGATGTAGATGCTAGTATTATTTCTTCCGCGCTCGGTACCGTCGTGTTAACCTGTGTATTGCGTTTCGTATTTTTGTGAACATGGACAGCGATGATGGAAAATGGAGTGATGAGATGAAGCCCTCAACCAGCAAGAAGCAGAAGAAAACAGGTAGAGTAACAGATGTGGTGAAAGTGTTGAGAGCTGTGAGACATGAACTCGGGCCGGATTGTTGTTGCAAGATGCTTCGCTGTTTTGAAGCAGTTCCTGAGGATCAGCGCAAAAGAATTACTCGCGAGTTCAATGCGATGGGGGATGTAAATAAACATAATTCGTATTAAGCCGGTCTTATTAGTGTGTTGCCGGTGATGCGATGAGGGAAAAATAAAAATCGTACTAAGTACAACACAGCTTCCTTTGTCTACAGAGTTCTGTCGCTAACAAATGATGGTGTTGCCCGTGATGTGAGAGTGAGCTTGAAAGCTTTCATGAGTATGCATGGTATCTCAGAAAACAAAGTGAGATACATTCAAAAATTTCTTGTTTAAACGGAAAAAGCACCTACAGATTAGTGCGGCAAGCACCAAAACAGACCCCACAAGCTAACAGAAAACACTAAGAAAAAGATGTCCCCCAGTTGTCTGTGAAGTTGCAAAATAGGGAAATACACTTAAAGAAAAGTGACCGTTTCTACTAATTGAAGAGACTTTGCCGAAAGAAGCCAATAAAGTCGACATCTTTTGAAGGAATTGCCATGGATTTCCAAAAAAATTTACCTTGCTCAAACATAACTACTAATGACGTCTACTACAGGCGTCAATTTAACTTAATCCGTTTTAACATTGATGTACTGTCTACTAAACAGGCGATTTTATACACGTACGACGAGTCTGTAGCAAAAAAGGGAGCCTACGAGGTTTGCTCTATATTGCATCACTTCATATGCAACATTTTGCCCCCAACGCCAACGGTGAAGGAATTTACGATATTTTACGATTCTTGCGTAGGGCAAAACAAAACTTTCACGTTAATAAGGTTTCTGCACAATTTGGTAACCAAAGAAGGGAAGTTGGAAAATACCAAGTTTGTTTTCCCGATTCGAGACCACTCGTACTTGGAGTGCGACCGTGACATAAGTATTATCAAGCAAAAGGCACACACTGAAACTCCTGAGGACTGGAAAGATGTATTCATGCACGCCCGCGTGATACCGAGTCCTTTCCTAGTTATAGATTGTGGCCTGGACCTAGACATGTTTCAAAATTGGACTGACCATCTGTCGTCTAAAAAAGACGTGTCCTTTCCCCACCAGACCAATAATAGTTCTCAAAATAAGTGCCACCAACAAGAATTTGATTTACCACAAAGCCACGTACTCTTGTCCGTACACAAGCTCTCCAGTCTTGGCTCCACTGCCACCTACGAAAACTTTGTCGAAGACTTCGAAAAAAAGAAAACAGAAAGCTTCAAAGCCAGTCGTGGAACTGAAAAAATCATACAATAGGACAATCCCTATTAATGCCGCCAAACTCAAAGATCTACTTCACTTGGCACAATTTTTGGATAACCCTAAAGCGAGGCGTTTTTACCAAAGCTTGAGGTCGGATGGACTTGCCAGAACTTGCCTTGCCTCAGAAGACGACGACGGCGACATTTACATCGACGACCCTCCCATTGACGCTGAAAACTCAGAAGATGACCAGTGAATCCGCCAATAATCAACTTTAGTGACTTCCACAATATTTTTTGGAACCGTATTTTTCGTTCCTAAAAACTTTTTTTTTTCGTAAATGTCGGGTAAATTTGTTTTAAAACCTAGTAGATAAGTACGCAGTTTACAAATAATTGTACAAAGAAAATGTTTGTGTAGTTTGCGAATAATAAAATACGTTTTTGCATTATTCAAAATATTTCATTCTCTCCATTGTTTGATTTAGGAGTACAAGAGGGTACAAAATATCATTGAATAGCTTGAAAAATGGTTATCCGGGAAACTTATTTTGAATCTGCATAGTTATTTTTTTAAATCGTTTTTAAAGTTCTTTAAAGTTGGTCAACTGTCAAATTTATTTTTCTCAAAATCAGTTTTGCATCAATGACGGGGTTTTTCCCCTGGACTCTTCTGAGTGAGAGTAAGTGAGAACTGTTTGCCTGTTTTATGTTCTCTATTACAGAGTTTGCAGCTTAATTCTCCACAAAGCCTGTTTCCGCAATACTTCAACACTACTATCGCAGGTAGTTTAGGGGTTTTTGCTCTCCTACTGCTAGCTCTGAACCGAAGAATTTGGTAGTTGGCTCTCTTTGCGTAAGTTCATCAGATCTTTTATTGCCTTGTATCCCAATGAACTGGAAACGTCTTTTGTATAGTCTATCAAGTTCTTCTCGACATACTCAGACATGTCCAGAGCCGCTTCAGTTAGAAAGTCCTCCCTCATGTTGATTTCTCTTGCACAATGCAATATTGCATAGTAGGAATAAAAATGTTTACATTTCCACTACTACTAAATATTCCTACCCACCCCGTCTGCAGTTTGCGACCGATCTGTTTACCAACTCTAGCTCTGCAGCCTGGTTTGGGTGCTCCATCTACTTCCTCCATCTCATGGCCACATAATCCTTCTGAAAAGATCTAATGAGGTGTATTTGTATAATTCCGTCAGAGTTCTCAGTCAGGAAGTTCCCATTCCTACATTTTTTTTAATCTAGAGTCAAGTAGTCAAGAGAGAAGATAAGTCTAAAGAGTTTGAGTATATTGTCGTCGTACTTTCTCAGTCATACGTATTATTGGTCGATTGACTTGAAAAACTCTCCACTTCCACTCTACAACTCCACTCAAAAACTCTTCACGGGCCCAAAACCAATAGTATAGATATGAGCAGTTTTTCAAATCATCGGATTTGTGAGTCTCGGTCACCAGGATTCTGAGACGCTAATCTAAAAGCAACTTTAAATGGGGTGAGCAACACAGCACGATACTTGCAGGAAAATAGGTAAATCATACATTAAAACTGTCATCAATACTTATAAACCTTCATTGGACCCATTATAGAGTGTAAATCGATCATCTACTACCTTCTAAAAGACTCAGAAACGAAAACTTCTGAGTACCGAACGCAGTATCCTGCGTAGAGCAAACTAGGAAAAACCTGGCGTTTCCCCTCCGGCAAACACATTTATCAAGAGGATGAATTCTCGGAACAGGAATTTATTCAGAAAGTCATAAACGGTCCAAACTCCAGAACTCAAGAGATCCTAAAAAGTTCCTGTTTATCTTCTGCGCCCCCAAAAACGAAAATCTTCACCCTCGTCCATTCTAATGGAAATATGCATTGACAACCTCCCGGATAAGTAGGCAAATGGTAAGACACTATGGGACAGAGCTAGAAGTACAGATATGCGACGTAGATGTAAGGTGGAGAACATCAAGAACTGGGTAAGAAATAGAAGAGTAGAATAGAACGATCATATAAGCGAATAACAACAAATAGAGTAGTAAAGACGGCAAGACGCAGTTCTCCAGTAGGAAGATGATCAGTAGGAAGACCACGAAAACGATGGAATGACAACTTACTGGAGGCACATTGAAAAACAGACATGGTCAAGTCTATATAAAAAGAAGAAGAAGAAGAGTTTATCTTGATGGAGCATAAACTTGCACGATATTTAGATTGACAGGGTTGGCATTCAATCTTATTCAATGATGCAACCACTAACTCTCATATATTTTATACTTACTTTTTACCTTTATCCTCTCTTTTAATATCTATATGTATTATTGATCCTCCGGTATGCCGATTGTTATATTACTTTCTATTTTTTTAATTTAAATTGTTGCACTGTATGTCTTTATAGTTGCTTACTATAACATCTAAGATTTCCTTTCGGCTATACCCGTAGTATAAGATACTTAGATCTTAAATAACTTCACTCATTAACGAGCCACCAATGATTCCATATACTAGTTTTATTAACAATAGTAATGAAATAAGCAATTGCAAGCGATTCGCTTAACCTACATTCATGCGTTTCCTTTTCCCATCAAGACCAGCTTACTCAGAACAAAGACGGAATATTGTGGCATGAAAATATCTATCTCTGACATGATTTCGTTAATTAAAGGAATCTAAAATAATTCTACTTTAGATTAAAGCAACTACGGCAGACTCTGTCTTAATGAAGATAAATGTCTATTGCAGTCTGCTATTATGTTTCCGCAACAAAAACGTTTTGTATTCGGTCGTTTTATAATGACTAGCCATGCTGTAATAGTGCGTGGGTTTAATATGCAATGGGAGTAGAGGTGCCGAGTATCGTTGTTATTAATTATCCGCTAAGGTTGAGTATTCTGTAGCAACTATTTATACTTTCAATATTCGATATTTAAATTAGTCGTGTCCCAGAACGCTTTGATTTTTTTACCATCGATTTCCTAATTAAGAAGTGAAATAGATCCTGAACATATTCGTAATATAAAAGTACTAATTTCAGCTAATATCGGACCCAAATCTAACTTAAAACAATCTATATATAAAATAATCTATAGTTTATATGTCGCAAGAAAAAATGTCACAAAAGTTTGAAAAAAAGTCAATAAAAAATCAATTAAATCTAGATCTAAACAACAAACTTTTCTTTGAGACGATCCAAAAACCATTTTCATTAAAACCATAGAAAACACAGATAAAACAAACCCGATTAAGGAAAGAACAAACGAAAAACTTCCAGTCGATGCCGTAGAAACTAGAAAGTAGTAGGTATCCTACTTCGAAATAAAATAGAAACCCACAACCATAAAACCCGTACCAAAATAAGGAAGTGACTTAGTTATTTTTATATTTTTTTAACCACCTGCACTACACATTGACAATGTTTTTTAATAAATATCGCATACTTATAACATTCTAAACCCTGTATCAAAAATATACGGTTTTGTTTTTGCAAGCATAGAGAAAGAGCCGTTTCTAAAAGTTTTAACTGTCTCATAGAATAGTCGCCTCCTAAAATTTGACGATTTTGTAAATGTTTTCGACTGCGCCAATTATGTGCTGAATATATACGTTTGCTATTACCATAATGAATTACTTTATTGGGATATAACTCCACAAATGCGATGTGCATGCAAAATATAATCTAGTTATTAATTTGTGTTTCTGTTTAGCAGTCGTGGCAAAATTGAGTTTGCTGCGAGTGATAGCGCGAGTTTTCTCTCTCTACGTTTTGTTTTTCTGACTTGCATGTGTATAATTGCACGGAAATGGTGTTTTTGGCGGTTTTTTGTAAAATACGATCCTAGTAATTCGGTTTTGTTGAATGTATTATCAGACATGAGACATTTGTCGAAAAGATTGGTTTATGAAATTACGGTTTTCTTATTCATATAGATAAACTCGATAATTTCGTCTATATATAAAAACTAACCCAATAATTATTCATAAGGAAATCCAATACATTTTCAGTGTGCACTGATATCGGTATTTTATATTTTAGTGCTTTTACAATAAAACTCCTCAACTTCTTGATACCAAGTATGCAATGAAAGAAACATTAAGGCATCTCTTTCCTGGATAATCCTATATCAATCGTGGATATATTACTTATAAATTAAATATCCATATTTCCTTTTTTCTAGTATAGTTTGTTCCTAGACTTGCTATGTTTCACACATATTTCTTTAACCAAAAAACTGCATTTTTACCAACTGCATTTCAACCTAAACTAACAAAAAGGAAAAGTATTTCTAATGGATGTCAAACTAAAAATCTATCTCAATTTATTACTTAAACATACATATACATATACTTAAACTTAAACTTACCTACTTAAACTTCTGGGGGTGGAAACTGGTCTTACACTCTCTGCCACACGAACAAATTCATCTCCAAACTGCGAAAAAGCCTGGGATGACAACCAGGGACAAACAAAACGAAGATGGAAGCTGTTGGTCAAAATGGAAACATGCAATTATCCTTTAAAGTTGTTGTAAATGCCGTTTTACAAATATCACAGATAAGAGACGGCTTTTAAAATAAAACACAGTGATTACTCGTGCAAAATTGACACATTACATTGAGTATAATTCACTTTATTTAACTAATTTGCCTAGTTTTGACGCCGACACTTACAGCGTCTTGACTGTTCAACTATTCTTCGAAACCTCCAACTTGAATTCACTTCGACCTCGATCTGTGTACCCGGCTTCTACCGTTTTCCTTACCCTGCATATCAATCCAAGGGACTAGCGAAACCGGAGTTCTTTTTAAACGGGCATTTGACCTTGAATAATTGCTCGCTTTTAAAATTTCAGGACTAACACGTACAAATAAATATAACCATATTTTTATCACTTGAATTCTTTCTTTTAACTCATGCATATTTCTTTTGCATATGCTTGTAATATGATCGATCCGTCTTATTGGCGATCTTCCTCGTGATTTCGGTCTTCTACCTGTCCTTGTTCATGTTTTACCTGACAAACTATGTTTGCTCTCATAACATGTCCAAACT